GTGATAGGAAGCTCTTTAGGGACTCCCCATGTGCCTGTCTCATGTCTTGGAGATGCTGGATGGGGGCCTCTCCTTCCTTGCTCACTGCAAATCGCTTCAAGAATGTTGTCTTGAACTCGGGCCATCTTCAGATGCTCCCAGGTGGCAACCTGTTATACCAGATTTCAGCCGCTCCATTGAGGGTTAAGTGGAAAGCCCTGCACTTCACGGCTGGGGTGGCACCCCTCAGGCTCATGTGAGTTTTGTAAGCGTTAAGGTGCTTCTCCGGGTCGCCTCTCCCGTTATACTTTGGTATTTTTGGCATGACGTAGTGGCTCGGGACCTGGGCGTTCCTTAGCTCCCTTGAGAATGGTAGGTTCTCATCATCATCGTCCAAGTCACAGGACTTCTACTGCTCATCAGAATCGTAGTCATCGACCTCGTACCTCGGTTGTTGGTAAGAGGGTCCGGGTCGGTTCCTAGCCTCTTCCTCCCTCCTTTGCAGCCTGCTTCTAGGCGGGGTAGCACGGGGGGCATTTTCATGCCTTCTCTCCAGCTGCTGAGGCATTGGAGGTGGAGGCTGTGGCCTCGTCCGAGGCTGCTGAGCCTGCTGTTGATTGAGCCCCGATTCAGTAGGACTGATTCTATCAAAAACACTGCCAGCTCTCCTATGTCTTGGATCTTGCTCATAAGGAGGTGGAAAATCATCGTGGCTCATTTGGGCCTCGGTGGGTCGGCTAGAAGCATAGTTGGAGAAAATGTCGACTCCCACTTCCCTCTCGAACGGGCTTCCACCTCGGTCATAGTCTGGCAAGGCAGCCCTATGACTCTAAACCTCGTCCTCTTGCTGATAGTGCCCGTGGGGGGCGCTCATGGCCAAGTTTTGGTTGGCAATATCCCTCATGTTGGCTGTCATGGTAGCCATTTCTCTTGACAGCCGTGCTGTCACACGCATTCCACCTCTCCTTTGGTGGTGGTGAAGCCTCGGCCGAGCTGCTGAGGCAGCAGGGTGGGAGGCACATTCGTGCTTTCTCTTACCCTCCTGGAGGGAGTATCTTCGTTAGAACTCATTTTTCTTTTATCAAACTCAGATTTGTCCAAGTGATAGGGGTTCCTCCTGTTCTTTTTCAAGAACAAATCCTTTTTCAAGGGGGGTTGCCCAAATGTTTTTCAGTATGCTTTTACCACAAGGTTGCTCGTGGTTATGGTATGGTTTCCCACAGATGGCGCCAATCTGTTGACCCCAAAAAGTGCGCCAACAGATGCCGGTCCCATCCGCGCTTGCGTGGGCGAATGTCCAACACTCTAAGACACGTGGACGGTCTAAAACGAGCGGTTCAAAGAGCGTGGGAATAGCCCAATGACGCGAGACGGTGACGTTCGGAATCCAGCTGGTTGTTCGTAATCCGATTGTATAATAATTACCAACCGGTGTTCATAAATGTATATGTAAATGTGTATAAACTCGATTTGTGTATTGCAAGTAAACTGAGAGAGTTGAGTAAATGTAGTTCTTTGTATTGATTCTTGCATTAGTCTTTTGATATTACACAAGGAAGTATTTATAGTAGTACATATGAAATGGGAGCCCTTGGATGAAGTAGCACGTGGCCTCATCTCTTTAGTTCAAACATTTTTTCCTAGGTATGGGGCTTGACTTGCTAGCTTACGGTGCATTTATTGCTTATGCAGGGCCTCCATGCTAGTAACAAGACTTAACCTTTATGCTTATGATAAACGTTCCATCAATCATTCGAATAAGATCTGTGCAGGCGATCTCTTGGGAGAAGTGACCATGGAGGATGTTTCTTTGTGGTTCAGAGGCTCGCGCATCAGTTTCGGGGCTTCGACCATTTGTCATGATACTTCCACTTGAGGGCCTCAACTGCTCTCAACAGGTTCCAGCAGCTTGGCTTCGGTTAGTAGGCCTTGGACAAAAAGGTGCCTCGGCAGATGGACTTCGGCTTGAAGCAGTTCGGATGTAGCCCACCTCGGCATTATGTGCCACCTCGACAGGAATGCCACGTGGATCGCCATGAGTGGGCCATTGTCCCAAGTAGATGGGCCAGGTGTGACAACACGCAACATCCTATACCAAACATTCAATAGCTTATATATAATATATATTTATTGTCGTCATGGGTATCTCCAGCCTTTCTTATTTAATCCAACCGTTTTTTCGTGAAGCCAATCAAGAAAAATTTCTGCATTTTTATTTTCTCCCCGTCCAATTCGAGTTTTGCATTGGACTTAACTTCTCTTCTTTCTTAATACTGTACAATATCCACATTATACTACTTATGAGCCATTTTTGCAATCAAAAGTTGAAAATCCCTGGCTACTGAAGATAACACGAGTCTGCGCGTTGCCTCATTTTCTTGTTACCTAGACACTGCTAAAGAAAACTTGGTGCACATCTCAGCTAAAGATACTAAAAAGAAGTTAGCATTTAGTACCAACAGCCAAGATAGCCATACAAGCCTCAGGGTGGACTCATTTTCTTATCTCAACAATGGTGGAGAGAACTTTACTTTTAAGGTCTCGGGGCCGGTTCAGGATCCCGCTCCGGCTTTCAGTTTTCCTCGAGAGAGACTACGTCCAATAAATGTAGGAAGAACAAATTGTAAAAATGGAATCGATGTATTTGGGGCTGACAAGTACTTTAACGTGAAACTGGATCGTAGGGTAAGAGTGGAGCCACCAGTAGGACCGAGAAATCCGAGTGTTTGTTCTCAAGAAAGTAACATGAACAGCCAAAATGTGTTGCTGCAGAGGACGCACAGAATTGAATCTCAAACGAAGCAAAAAAGACTGTTCGGGAGGAGATTTTTTGCTGGTCTTGTTTGCCAAGGACCTTGTTTCAATAAGAAATCTGTTCATGTTAATGAAATCGTGGCACCTGGAACGACAACAGAATCAAAGCCTACTCGAACTGGATCAAAAAGGGTCGAACATTTTGCATCCCAGGTTTCCAGATCCGGGGCAGAAAATTTGACAGTTGAGGATGAAGAGTTGAAGGAAGAAAAACCGGACGAGCCTCGGAGATCACTTGAAGTGTTTGGTTCGTGCAACTCGTATATGAAAGGAGGCGTCGCTAGGAACCTGGAAAGGAAACTCTCCATGTTAACTTGGGATGCTATTCCAAAATCAGGCCAGAATCTTACAATTTCTACTCCTGGAAATACTCCAATTTGTGATGACATGGCTAGTGATGCTAGTTCTGATTTATTTGAAATAGAAAATATATCAAGCATGGCTTATTCGAAGTTAAAAGTTGAATCTGATCTTTATCATATGCCGAGCTGTATGAGCCCGAGTCCTACAACGCAGTATGCGCCGAGTGAGGCCAGTATTGAGTGAAGTGTTGTCACAGCAAGTGCTGCAGATTATTCTTCAGTTGTCTCAGATTATGATGAAAAGAAAGTGTTACAGCAGATAGAATTTCCAGGAAGTTTTACAGAAATTCAGGGGGACTGTAGTCTTTAGGGATGCAAGAATCATAAAGCAGCGAGTGTCATCAGATGAAATTGATAGTCGTGACCAGTTGATTTGACTTGGCCTCGCTCAACTGATATTGAAATCCCCATCTGAAAACAATAAGAATTTAATTCTGTATGCGCAGGTTTGCCATTTTTTCCATAAATCTTGAAGACCACATAGGAAAATCAGAGGGCTAGAATGAAAGATATTAATCAAGAAATTGTGCTCATTCATCAGATCGACGGATTTGATGAATAATGTTGAAGGCTGCAAATCGTATAATTGCAAATTGTTCATTTTTTTCCAAACTTAAAAATGCTTATAATTTAACATCATCAGCTTATGGTTTAAACAGTTGCACATTGGCGACAAACTTATTCATTAAGGAAAATTTGCACTTTTCGTTTTCAATTTTTGCAAAAAGTAACAAATCTGCCTCAACATTTATTTTTTAGCACAATTCACCCTACCTTTCAATTATGTAACAATACTTGTCATTTTCTCAGTTTTAACCATTAAATATAGTATATACCCTTCTGTTTAAATAAACAATTTTATTTGATTTCCTTGTATAGCATTTAATTTTTAAAGAATATTATATTACATAAATAAATATTATCATTTGAATCTTGTAAGATAAGATAAAATTTTAATATAGTATATTGCACAAATAAATAAATATAGTATACCCAAAAATACATTATGTTCATGTTTGGCTCAACAAAAAATAATAATAATAATAAATAAAATCTGAAAATTCCAGTCAAAGTGAATAATTAATTTTAATCACACATTTCATATGACTCATAACTTTTAAATTACATATTCTATCAACTTTTATCAAAATTTACTAAAAATCTAATTTTTATCTAAATCAAACAGGCTACAAGAAAATCCTCACAAACACAGTATGAATTATTAATAATGTATTTGATACAAAATTGTCTCTTATTTAAAAATAAATTAAACTTCTTTAGCAAAATGATTCCAGAGCACCTACGTCGCCTTAGTACGAAGAATAGTTTGTCATCAGTATTTATGTTTTAAAAATTGGACCGGGCAGATCTATTTGACAAACAAACTTGAAACCAGTCCATTAATAACTCTAATTATAAGTAAAATTTGAAAAATTAAAAACCGTTTATACCGATGGTTCACCTCAATTTTTAATTTTTAATTATATATATTCGATACAAAATTGTCTCTTATTTAAAAATAAGTTAAACTTCTTTAGCAAAATGATTCCAGAGCACCTACCTCGCCTTAGTACGAAGAATAGTTTGTCATCAGTATTTATGTCATCAGTATATATATATATATATATATACACGTAGATATGGAACTATACTGTCTTTAAGACGACCACATGATGCTTAATCCTAAATTCGATCCAGCAACTTCGGTGGCAACATTAAATTCTTCACCTGTCTGGATACACAACTCATTTTCACAAAAAAACAGTCTAACTATTAGCTAGGTTAGAACTCTCATGATTAACATTATTGATATGACTTTACACTTTCAAATTTGATTTTCGACTTATCTCTCTACATGCATATTGAATTCAATTCTTCACTAAACATCTCATACGTGGAGAACTTATAAATTAGACAGCAACAAGACCAAAAAACTCATACCACTTTGAATTGGAATGATGTGGTTCATCAAGGAATTGTCTAAGATTTTGATATTTAATAAAGAAATATATTTTCATTCAATTTTGAAAACTCACGGGTGCTTGTTTGGTATTACATTTAAGTACTGATAAGCAGTGTAATGTGTAAATAATAAACCAGTAAAAGTTGTAGCTCAGGTGAAATGTGTAGAACAAAATAGAGTTCGAGTTATCTTTTAAATTTTAAGCACTTGTAAACTTTACCAAACATGCACTAAGACTTCAAACTAGTGGGACATGGAGATATCTAAAAGATTGGATCTTAAATAATACGAGATTTCATTGAATCAAATTATGCCAAAGATGCATCCATGCAATGGAATGTTTTGAAGGGTGTTAACTAGTAGTATTGAGTTAAGAGGTGTCTATGAATGGGAATGTCTAAGAGGGACCATTAGTATAGGTTGGATATCAACATCATATTCATGTATGAAAGTTGCGATCGAGTAATTTTAGTAGCTAGCTGTTATGGACCTCTTTGAAAAATCAATGTAGATAATGGCTTCATATCTTGAGAATTTTATTCAAAATCTTGTGGATGTGGATCCTTGCAATGTACGGCATTGTATGCAACAAGAGGAGCTTTTAAGCATATTGGTTCGAGCCGAGCCATGCTTGCACCTAAATTGGCTATACCCATTTATAAACATGTTAACTAAAAGATATCGTGTTTAACCTCTTTTTCTAAAAGATTAAGCTATTTGAAGGAGAATAAATTTGCTAATATTATTTTCTGTGCAGTTTAAACTAATATTTTCATTGAAGACTTGACGCGTGCAAATCTTTCATTAATAGATTAATTTAATAATATTTACTTGTGAATTAAATTAAATTACTTGATATTACTATTGAAGGATGTAATCAACATTCCTTTTGTCTGACACTTGAAGAGGAAAAGAAAGGGACTTTGATCTTGTTCAAAATTGGGCTCAAGTAGCTATAGTTTGACCTTTCAGAAAAAGAAAAAAAAAAAAAAAAACCGCAAATGCATATGAAATATAAAAAAATTCATATAATACCATATGTATTTCTATTTTTAAGATATACTACATATTGAATAAAATATCACAAAAACTATTGCTATTGAAACTTTCCATTTCAAACCAATTGTAACTGAAAATCATCAATGGACTGGGAATAAGGAATTCATCACTGTTGCCGGTACGTAATTCAAATTCACATTGGTTTTTCACATCAGAGAAGTTTGAATAACTGCAAGCTTTTCCATGTTGATCATTGTTCATGATTCACGCATTGCGATCTGCTATAATCTCTTGAACTTTTTGCAGACATAACATATTTCTTACAACAATAAAGCTACTTACACTGGGCCAAAAATAGGGTGAAAGACAGGAATTTAAAAAATCTGACGTGGCATAGTTGTTGGCTACGGCTCCAAGTAAGCAAAATGAAAGAGTGTAAGGGGCCGTTTGAGTCCCATTATTTGTATATTATAATGAAATGAATTGTATTTTTTTGAAAAATGAGTGGTTGAAAAGTTTTTGATTTATTTGTAATATTATTTTATTGAAAATTCTGTGGTTAAAAGTATGAGAAAGAAAAATTTAATTTAATGTAATGAGAAATAATTGGGCTCAAACGGGGGCTAAATTGTATTAAATAAAAAAAAAAAAGTTTTCAGGGGCAATCCTGACTAAGGTTTTAAGAGCAAAATGTTGACTTTTTTCTTTGCCATTTGTATGAGTAGAGCATAATTTTTAGTGGTGAATCAATTATAATTCGAGTATCGTTATTTTGCATTATTTAAATTTACTATTAATTTACGTAGTAATTTAGTGTTGCTAAATAATAAGTTCGATTAAAATAGAGCTTTTCATATAGTGTTGGTTTAGAACAGTGGCGGATCTAGAAAAAAATTCAACATGGGCTAATACGTAAAAAAAAAAAAAATAAAATAAAATATATATATATATATATATATATTGCACACAAAAAAAATACTTAATTTTTTTTAATGGACATTTGGGATGAAGGGACGGGCTATAGCACGGCCAAGCCCATCCTTGGATCCACCCATGGTTTAGAATAGGTTAAAAAATTGCTAAAAAGTTGACATGGTAAAATCAACAATTAATTTCAATAGCGTATTTTTATTAGATCTACAATTTTTATTAACTTTTCAATCATATCTTTTCATTAACTTTTTTCGAAACTACAAAAGTCATAAAAAGCTACTGTTTTGAGAGCAAACAAAAACCTAACTTCATTTGGCAACGGGGTTATTTTCAATCGTTTCGCAGGAAAAAACTGTTAAAAAGTTATGGTAAAATCAACAATTAAGTTCAATAGTGTATTTTTATTAAATCTATAATTTTTATCAACTTTTCAATAACACAATTTCATTAACGTACGTCGAAACTACAAAAGTCATAAAAAGCCACTGTTTTGAGGGCAATAAAAAAAAACCTAATTGCGTTCAGCAATAGGTTATTTTCAATCGTTTTGCCGGAAAAAAATTGTTAAAAAGTTATGTTTTTATTGGATTTACAATTTTTATCAACTTTTCAATCTCATCTTTTCATTAACTTTTGTTGAAACTTGAAACTACAAAAGTCATAAAAGTTATTGTAAACGGTTGAAAATAACCATTTGCTGAACGCAGTTAGGTTTTTATTTGCCCTCAAAACAGTAGTTTTTTATGACTTTTGTAGTTTGACAAATGTTAATGAAAATGTATAATTGAAAAGTTGATAAAAATTATTGATCCAATAAAAATATGCGATTGAAATTAAGTGTTGACTTTACCGCTTCAATTTTTTAATCTATTCTAAAACAACACTAAATAAAAAGCTCTATTTTAATTGATGTTATTATTTAGTAACACTAAATTATTACATAAATTAATTGTAAATTCGAATAATGCAAAATAACGATACTCAAATAATAATTGATTCACTACTAAAAACGATCTACTCAAAAAAGTGGGAAAGAAAAAAGTCAACATTTTGCACGTAAAACCTTAGTCATGATTGCCCCAAAACTTTTTCTTTTATTTAATGCAATTTCCACTTTTTCATTTTCCTGTACTTGGAATCGTAGCCAACAACTATACCTCGTCAACTTTTTTTAAATTCCTGTCTTTCACACTGTTTTTGACCTTGTGTGAGTAGCTTTATTGTTCTTACAATCAATATGGTAAGAACTTTATTGTGACTGACATCTCGAATTAATAGATGGGTACAAA